CTTTGTATTTTATCTAATTTCATGGGTATCTCATGTGCCCTACCCATATATTAGGTTTAGTAACTGTGATATATTTTGCAATATGAACCCCTTGGTGCCGGGTGATGCTGATCGGCGTGTAAACAAACCGCTCAAAAGCCAAAGCGCGGCAAGCCAGTGATTCGGGCTGATGTCCCCTACTTACGCGCTCAAAGTTGGCGTGCCGCCTTTGTTTGCTAGATCATAGTTTTTTTTTTTTTTGTTTTGTACACCCGGCGTCATTGGGTTAATCATTGCTATATTCATTCTAGGTAATGAAGCTTATCCAGGAAATATTTCATACATGCAGAGTTCACTATTTGTTCTGAGATATCACTACATCTGTGATACTTCCCCAAAACATAGTTGTCTTTTATTACATTCAGTGCACATGCTGGCCATCTTGAAATTTATTTGAATTTTTTCCTCTCCTAGTAACTCAAATACTTAATATTCCTTTATTTTTGATAGACAACATGCAGCTGATGTGCGAAGGACAGTGCGGGATATTACAACTGGGAAAGACCCGCCTCGTTCAGCCAGTGTATCAACTATCTCCGCAGTAAGTTTTATAATTTCATTGTTAAGATCATAGAGCATTTTTTTCTCTCTTGTAATTATTATTTTTTCCAGGAGAAAGGAGTAGTTAAAAAATAAGTGATCAGATAATGTATTTCTGCACTTCTTTTGAAATTATAGCTTTGAGTTTCTTTATAAAGAACATTTATTGCATACATTAATTCTGTAATAATACTTTTTTAAACATTACTATGTATTATAATTCCAGCATGTTCCCCTACAAGAGGTAGTTGAACCTGTTGATTATGAAGACTTCATTGATCAGCACCAGCTTGAGGCAGACAGAGACCCTGCCCGTGGGATACTCCATTTTCCCAGTGATGACATAGTTGTAACATGTATTCCAAGACACATTCGAACTGTGCATCCAGTTGTGCCAGATGATGGGTGAGATAAAAGATTTATGTTGTGATGTAAAAGTTTATTTTAAAAGCTAAAAGAAAATATTATAGTAATTTCCTCTATAATGGTGTTCAGAAATATTGAATTACATAATTTCACATTATGTTTGAAGTGTTTATTGAATTGAGATGTTTACACTTCTCCCTTTATTAGTAGGGATGGCTTCGATGCACATGTGGCAGACTGTGTTCGGTGCTATACAAAAGACTGGCTACATGTCAGTCGACAATACCTACATCATTCCACATCAGTACCTGGGCGGAACCAGCTGACAGCAGAGCGTCTAGCACATTTGCAGTCTTGTCCACAACCAGAATTTGAAGTAGACTTGGATGATGACCGCGGACATGATGATGTTGAGAGAGTATGTTGATAAAATTGGTCTCACTTTTTGGTTTTGAATTATTATTGGTATTGTTAAGCAGGCAGTGATTTTGAGATTAGAAATAGTTTTTCAGTATACAACTGTTCCTTTCAGATTTCTCTCTCACTTTTTCAGACCTTTGTGTTTTGAGTTGATTCAGTAATTGAGTTATGTTGATTTGTATTGTATTAATATTTTACCGTGATTGAATCATTATGCTCAAGTCTTTTCTTAGTTAATTTTTCTGTTTTTTTTTTTATCATTATAGATGTTGTACTATGTTTACTGAAAAATTTCCTGAATATCATCTTAGAATATTTGTTATTTGATTAGTGGTTAAACATTCTTTAATATTTAATCTTAACATTAGACTTTAATTCATAATATTGTAGCAAGATATGGTTGGAAGCCGGCATTCCTCCCACCTATCTGACACACCAAGAGGAAGCTGGGCAAGTTCAGTCTTTGATCTTCGAAATTCCGTAGCAGATCCTCTGCTGCCATCCTTACTCTCTCGTATTCCCTTGGACACAGTAGATAACAATAATCAACAATCGAGGCAGGAAAACAGACAGGTATTGTATCATCTGATAACATGTCTGCAATTGCATGCATTTATGTTTATTACTTACTCACTTGTTCATAAGTGTAAATCTCTTTATATCTGTTATATATGAATTTGCTTGCAGTTACATGGGTATTTCTTTATTTATCCATTCAGCTAGCTATTTGTTTCTTCTTTCATCCAATGCATAAACAACCATCTTTATATCTATTTGTACATCTAATTGTATGTCCATTTCTCTTGGTCCATCTGCTCATCTTCAAAGCTTTCATTTGTTTGTATACATGTCATATCATCTTTTTACCTCTGTCAGCTTACCTCACTTTCTTATTTAATCATCACTATAAAGATACTTGATTCATCTGTTCATCTACCAGTTTTATCATTCATTATCTCAACTTGTCAAGAAAAGAATATGGAGTACAGTGAATGTTATGATAGTTAAAATGATTTGATATTCACATAATTGTTGAAATTAGATTATTTGTTTTCAATTTCTAGTTCTTTTAGTAAAGTTTGAATCTTTTGCAGGAATCTCTGTTTGTACTTTATCCCCCTCAAGATGAGGAGGACATGATAGAGAGGAGGCAATACCCAGAGGTCCCCATGCCCCACTCAGGCCATCGGATCCAAGTAAAGTGCATCAACTTGAGACTCGAGTTGGAGATTGAACCAGTCTTTGCCACCATGGCTCTCTATGACTTGAGGGATAAGAAGAAAGTGTCCGAGAACTTTTGCTTTGACATGAATCCTGAGCCTCTCAAGAGGATGTTAACGTCACACATTCCATATCAGGTTCAATGAGTTTGTTTTTTACTAGTTTACCTTTACAAGAGTTTTGATTGATGTATTTTTTTTGAGTTAGTCTTGGAAAATATTCATTCTGTGAATGAAGTTGCTATGTTCATGACCATTTTTTTTTTTTTTCCTAAGGTAACTAAGATTTATGTAGAGCTTTTTTTGCAGATGAGGAAAGTGTATTTTTTGCCCCCCAAATATTTTTTTACGATCCAGATTTTAATTTTGATGGTATTTCTTCATGGGAGTAATGAGTGCCTCGTATGCAATTTAATGTAAGAAAATGTTAAGTTTTATAAAGTAGGAAAGAGAACTGAAAGTGATCTAAGTAAACTTTTGGTATTTCAGGATATATCAACACTCAGCCGTACCTGCATTTTTGATATTACCTACCCTTCAAGTGATTTATTCTTAGTAGTACGTCTTGAGAAGATTCTGCAGGGAGACATCAGTGATGTTGTTGGACCTTATATGAAAGATGATGCAGTGAGTATTTGAAGAATTATTAAGCCATTCCTGTGGCAAAGTTATTAACATGTTTAGTATCATATAATATTTCATGTTTCTTAAAGTGAAAAGTTGTATGAACTACTTGTTTGAGATTTTTATAAGGTTGTATGTAATTTCAAGAACCGAGAGAAATTGAAGGCAGCAGCTGTTGCGAGTTGTGAACGGCTTGGTAAATATCGTATGCCGTTGGCCTGGACTGCAATTAATCTTATGAACATCTTCACGGGAGTCCATGGAGATCGTGAGAATGCTCCTGAAAGAGAACCATCAGGATCAAACAGTCTAGGTGATTTTTCATTTCAGCCCCTCTTTTGTATCTGAAGTCAAGTGTCTTTTTTTCAGTTATTTTTTACTATGTAAAATACACTGGGTAATTTTTAGCTAAGATTTTGTGTGTATAATTATGTATATCTGGAGCTTAAATTTCAATTATTTTTATTAACCTGAAATTTTACAATCTGACATTTTTAGACCGAAAGCAGAGTTCATCCAGTTACGATGAGCTGAAACGAAAGAGTGGTTCAGGGTCACTGACACGCAGAGGATCCCTAGAAAGGCGAAGCTTCAGTGAGAAGAGACGGAGCTGGTCTCCTGAAGAATTTGGAGCATGTCTGGATTCCTTCAGACCAGTTACTCTAACTGTGTCCTCATTTTTCAAACAGGTAACCTCATAATCAGTTACCCATGTTTTTCAGTATGTGGTTATTTGTTTCTAGTTTGATGATACATTCTAATTCATGACCATTGAGTTAGAGATGATTGATGTAAAAAGGTAGACAAACCTGTGATTGAGAGAGAGTATTGTTCTGTTCAGAAATGGTTTGCCAGTGTCCAATTGCTAATCTTTTTGTTTAAGTTCAATCTTCAGTTTTCCCCTGCTGTATAACCTAATGTTTTTTCCACATTTGATAGCTTTGAGACTTGTTGTGAAATAAAGTATATAGAGTTGTGTGTAGTATTCAGGTTTATTTGAATGCATAACATAGATGATCTTTATTTATTTAAGTACCAAAACTCATTTTAGGAAGGAGATAAACTGCGTGATGATGACCTTTACAAGTTCCTCGCTGATCTCAAACGACCCTCAAATCAGCTGAAGAAAAAATGTCTCCCAGGTCTACTCAAATTAGATATATCTCCAGTTCGGGACCAGCCTAAGTACTGCCTCACAGCAGAGCTATCCAGACTACATCCTTATCCAGGTCAGTAAAAGTTTTAAGTGTTATATCAGTTAGATACATATTAAAGATCAAACCAAAAGATTTCTACATAAGCCATATACATATGTTGTATTAAAAATTAGGTTTTACATCTCATATAGTGTTCAGTCATGATGTTAGGTCAGTTGTGCAAGATGTTAGTTATTAGGATTGGTAATTTTATCTGCCCCTCATTCAATAACATGCTTAGAAATGGTTACTCAATTCTTCAGTTTGCAAATTTTCACAGTTCTCTATACCAAGAAGACGTTAGTTATGTAAAGGTTATCCATCCATAAAATCCAGCATGCAGACCACAGTGTTTCACTTCAAATCTTGTAGGTTTGACCCTCCTGGGTTCTTGATTTCTCTTTTTTTTCAGAATAACATTTAAATGGTTTGATATTTTCTTAACCCATTGCCACCAGTTATATGTGATGTCCTATGTAGTTTTGTTTTGTAAATAATGTTTACACGTATATGGCTCCATGAGTGCTCAGCCACCGAGGAGTCGTTTAGTAAACCCTACATGGCCTTACCTGATTTCCTTACTCCTTGAAATTTTGGATTTTTTTTTTCTAATTCTAGTAATATTGATATAATTATTATTGTAATTGGCATTATGATTATTATAGAATACTAATAGCAATAAAGAATGAAAAGGAATCTTCCCGAAAATCAAGAAAACAGGTGAGACAGTGCAGGTCTTGTAATTGACTCATTGGAGACTAAGTACTTATGGAGCCATCTATGTGTAAACATAATTAAGAAACTAAAATTACAGAGGACATGGCTTGTAGGCCATCTCTGGCAGTACTAGGCTAAATTTAATGAACACACAAGATAATGTTATTTTACTAATGATATTAACAGCATCTTAAAATACGTTTAATAATAAAATAAAATACAGTGCATTGACACATTAACATGATATAGCTATATTAACCCATTGGATCTGGTTGCCTCATGGCAATCAAATCACCAAAGATCCGGGCATTAGGCTTATGTGAGTGGCTATTCTGCTGAGTGGCTGCTTGTAAACTGGGCACACACGGACATGTGAGCGTGGTGACAAAACTGTCTCCTGTCCATAGTTGCAATTTGATATGCATTATTTAATAGTTTTTATCTTTTTATGTATTATTCAATTTTCTGTAATACAACCTGTGTCGCTGCTCACGGCGTCAGGAATATAATGCTGAGCATGAAAATAGCGTCCTCCATGGAGCTGGTACTCTTCCAGTCACCGGACATTTCATTCCACACACATACATCAAGGTGAATAATACAAAATTGCCAAATGAGTAAAATAAACCTTCCAATAAGTTTGTGCACTTGTGATGAGTCTTTCCCATTACCCTGGCCTTCAGCCACATTGCTCACAACGGCAAGTTTGCGTCACCCGGCTAACAGCCAGATTTTCCTGTGACAACATGTTCACGTCACTTACACCTTGACCTGGATTTTTTCATGACAAGATGGTCACGTCACCCAGATCCAAGGGGTTAATGTTAATATTGACTCTATAACTTGATTTTTAATGGTCTCTTCTCCAAGATCAGAATTTGCATTTGCTTGCAAATATAAATTATTTAAAATTACTTAGCAGTTACAAGATCAGACAACCTTATGAAGATGTGAACCCCATTCTTTCCAGTACAATACATTGTTGTTTGAAATTAAATGAATAAGCTCTTAACCAGGGATTTAATCTAATTAGATCCATTAACTGTAAAGCCAACACATAATGCTTCCTTTAATGTTTGCTTTGGTTTCAATCTTGCTCTTACGATTACCAATGCCTTGCTAGACCAGATATTCTTGACGTATATATGCCCTTATCCTCTGGAGTGCCCAACCCTTGGAGCTTACAAGAGACAATTCCAGATTCATTGCTGAATCCTCACCTCTGTCTTTGTTTTTACCTTACAATAATCAATTGTTGTCCTGAAGACCATATTAACCTTTTTATGTTAATATAGAATCTAGAATATAAAAAAAAAAATGCTTTATTAGATATGCTTCTTTAGAATTGCTGTCACCATCTGTAGAAATATTTCTGAACCATCTAAAAATCTTGCTGTTAGTTTCATGTTGTGTTTCGGTATAAAGTTTATACTTGGAATCTGATACTGTGAAGTATGTCATGTACTTGATATGTAGTGTTTGAACATTCTTGACACATACCAAAACATACAGGGACAAATACTTATGGACTTGCCAACTTGTGTTAAGGTCACCTTGGGTAGCCTCATCATACAAGTCACCAAGGAATGTGTGCTACAAAGACTGGTATTACCAGTGGATTCCATAATTGTATTACTTTTTTGTCAACACCTGCATAATTACAATCCACATTGAGGCTTTGATTTAAAAAAAAGTCACAAAGCAAGAAGGAATAGAGGAAGGAAACAAAAGTCGTATATAATTTTTCCACATCTGAGCATTTACCCTTCTGTGGTAGTTTCATTTTCAACAAAGAAAACATATTTTCCCCGATGATGAGTGGTTAATGGTAAAGAAAAAGAACAGGTTAAAGGTTACAGGGAACCATGAATAACCACAAGAGATAGGATTTAAGTTATATAGTATTATAGTATTACATTTCCTGAGCCCATTGTTAATTGTGAGGGTTTAGAGGGGCCTCATCCCATGAGTTTCATAGTAAAGGGTTTGGCTATATTCACCATTTTCAAAAGCTGAATTAGTTGTTTACTCTGCATACTGCATTGAGAGAAAATATTTATAGCCTTGTTACTTTTTAAAGTGAAAAAGACATTAATCTAATTATAGATACGAGTTGAATTTGTTGATGTGAAAGAAATTATCAGAGAAATAGTTTGTGTGTTTGTGCTCAATGAGGCAGTTGGGAATATTTGACAGGACCTTAATCTCAAGATTGTAGATAGGAGACCATTTCAGTTTTTTCTTTATTAATATATGATATCTCACTTCAAATGATATATATAGAAATGCATTTCATTTTTTATTGATTAAGAAGATTTGAAATGTATTATGATGAAATGTCATTATGTATTTGTAAACTGGTATACATAGTCAAGGTGCTGACATGTTGCATTGAATATAGCTTCTTTTATGTGCTAATTTTTAATGCATGATATGTTGGAAATGGAAGCTTTGTTGTATTTCATCACTATGTTTTACAGTGGTGGTTTTAATAAGAGTTGATACCATAAGAGCTTGGGTCATAAATGGGAGGTTTAAGGTCTGGTTGATTCCACGTAGTGTTTGTCTAACTCCTAATAACACCTAACCCCAAAGAAACATCGACATAGCTTGAGAAACACAAATGAAAACAAGGAAGCATAGTGACTTTTGAGAATATAATATTTTACATCTGTATGAGATTTGAATTTGTTCTCAAGCGATGGCCATGATTCCAAGTATCTGAGTTTAACCCTCTTGCAGCAGATGAGACAGAGGAGGAGGAAGATAAGGATTGTAAGTCATTCTTCATTAGATATCCTTTATGGATTGTAGCTGTTGTTGTGCCTGCTGCATGATGTATATAACATCACATCGGCTTAAACTAAAATTCTGTAATTGATCAGTAATTTTCCAGACATTTAAGTAAAAAAAAAAAAATTGGTATGTTTAATCTTGTAAAGCTGTAATGGTGCTCTAATAGGTACTGTAGTTCTCACTGTGCTAAGAATTGATATAGTTCTTGCTTTGTGATAAGGATTTTTTTTTTTAGAATATTGAGTACCTTTATCTGTGGGAATAAATTTTATTTTCATAAGTAAATTTGTAATGCATAATGAATTTATATTGATAATTATTAGTTGACTAATGAGATTAATGGTCTAAGTAATTGTATAAATATTCCCTTTTTATTATCTTGTATTTGGTGTAAGGAATGATATACTAAGAGGAAATTTCTTTACAAAATACTTTATAATTCATGAAAATATTGATTTTGTATTTTGCATTTTGGAATCTTTTGTTCATATTTCTTTCCATATTTTTTTTTACTGTGAACTGTTTGAACTCGGATTAGTATTTGTTGAATTCAATTGCATAAATGTCTGGAATTGCTGAGAAAAAATGGCTTAGACTATGGAAGAGCATTTAGCACGTGTTCAGCTTATTCACTTAAGTATTTGTGACTTCTGCATAGCATTTAATTCTAGTTATTTGATTGAAGTTTATTTTATAATTAAGTGAAATTGAAAACTCTGCATGCGTAAAAAAAATTGATGTTTTCATTTGTTCATATTGACTTTTCTTGTAATTCAGTTTGCAGTGTATTTTTGATCTTTTAATGTGTATGCTGAAGAGCATGTGTATATAAATGTTATTAGCTTATATTATATCAACTGATAATGTTGATTTTGTAATTACCAATATGTGTAAGTACTTTTCTTTCTGCATATTAGGTATAAGGATGAAAACTGTGGTTTAGAGCCACTTCATAAATGTATGTTTGTAGTTACTGTACGTTTTTAAAAGCCAATGATTAAAGTTGTTTCTTTATTGTAAATTAATTTCTTTCTTGCTTTTCTGTGAGAACAAAATCTGTAGAGTTAATGCAGCAGTATTATGTTTAAATGCTTTTTCTGTCATATATATTTCCTTTGTGTGCATGGAAGTTTATGAAAAAGTAAATTGGAAAAATGATTAGAAATGCATCCTAAGGTAAAACAATACTTAAAAGTGCAAATGTTGAATATAATTAATATAAGTAAATTTTGTTCTTTTGCTGATAGCATATTTTATATATTATTAGATTACTCATTGCTTGATGATTTTCTTTTATCATTATGCATTGTATTAAGAATGTGCTAACATTATTGTCTCTTAATCCAGATGAGAAATGTCGACCAATTAAAGAGATCGTCGAGTTCCCTCCAAGAGATATTTTTGTCCCTCACTACTCCTACAGGAATCTCCTCTTTGTTTCACCAAAAGATCTGAATTTCAGTAACAGACCAGGTAGAGAAGATATAGTTTTCACATTTTCTTGTTTATATAGATTTAACAATTTTTTTTGTGGTTAATCACTTCAAAGATCTCAACTAGGAAGAAAATCATTTTCATATTTTTATATATAACTTGTAAGATTTGCATATGGTTAATTTAATCTAAATGAAACTGTTGATAGGACGGGATGTTCAAGAGTTTGTTTGTATTTAGGTTCTGCACGGAACATTGCTGTAAAGATACAGTTTATGGCTGGGGAAGAAGAGTCAGCTGCCATGTCAGTCATTTTCGGCAAATCATCGTGCCCAGAGTTCACCACAGAAGCATATACAGCAGTCACCTACCATAACAAGTCCCCAGACTTCTATGATGAATTCAAGATCAAGTTACCTCCAGTGCTTGGTGATCAACATCACATTCTATTCACATTCTATCACATTTCTTGTCAGAAGAAAAATGAAGAAAAGACAATTGAAACTCCTGTTGGTTATACAGTAAGTGATTTTACAATGCTTATCATAAACATGTATTCAAATCTTAAGGAAACATAGTTTGTTTCATAATTATGCAGCATATCCCTTAATTCTCTGGAACTTTTTAAATTATATAATATTTATATTATAAGGGGACAGTTTTGGCTCAAACATTTTTTAAAGAATGATAATGACTTATGTTTTCCTTAGTGGCTGCCTGTATACCGTGATGGATGCCTCCAAACTGGTGAACATAGCCTGCCAGTGATGATGGAGCGACCCCCAAGCAACTACTCCTACATCACTGCAGACATTCAACTACCAGGCACAAAGTGGGTCGATAACCACAAAGGCCTTTTTACTGTCCTGGTGGAGGCAGTGTCATCAGTACATGCACAGGTATGTGAGCTGAGAAGTTTTTGAAGCTTTTCATTGAATTATTTCAAGTAAAGAAAAATAGTAGCAATTTTGCCATTATACTTCATGTAAGTTGCATCTTGTTACTTTTTTTTTATAAAGACAAAGAATTAAGTACATTATTATCCATTCAAGTATTGATCCTGTATTCTTATGTTTTTTATATTGTAATTAAAAAAAGGACTCCAGTTATGTCTTGTTTTATTTTTGTTGCTCTTAAAAGGAATGTTTAGCCTATTCTTTTTTTTTATTATCCATTCTTTCCTCTAAATCTATATATATATATATTTCTTTTCAGGATAAGCACATTGATAGATTTTTCCATCTGTGTAAAATGGTGGAGGAGGGTAATATTCCAGCTCGTATTGGTGAAGCTAATATGGAGGGAGAACTGAAGAAAGCGTAAGTATTGATCCTGTATTCTTATGTTTTTTATATTGTAATTAAAAAAATGGACTCCAGTTATGTCTTGTTTATTTTTGTTGCTCTTAAAAGGAATGTTTAGCCATATTCTTTTTTTTGTGTGTGTATTTTTCTCCTAATTATAGATACACTTGCTGTCAAAGAAGTATATGCTTGATATAGTAGCAAGCAGTGATTTAGCAATTTCAGAAGAAAAAGGAATATATATACATACCCAGTGAGATCAAATTTACTCATAGAAATATATTATTGTTACTTGAAACAGAATGGGAGATCTGATAAACTGTCATGCTGAGCCATTAGTGCGATTTGTCCCTGTGCTGTTAGACCGCCTCATCTCTCTCATGGTTCGGCCACCCACTCTCGCTGGGCAACAAGTCAATATTGCCCAGGCTTGTTTTGAGACCATTGGCACGCTTGTTGGACGAATATCTGTAAGTATTAGCCATTGCATGGTTGTGTGTGCCTATTTGGCTTATAGATACATAAAAGGCTGTATGCAGGTCATTTGTGCTCCTGTTCATATGATCTTTGCTTTTGCAAACAGGGACTTTTGGAGGACAAGAATGATCAACATGGACGTAACAGCACCCTTCTAACATATGTGGCATATCAGGCAACTCTACCCCATCCAGATGACAGCCCACCTGTTGTAACTGCCCAGCCGCACCCTCCCCACCCACCAACCTCAGTCCCCACTCATCGAAAGTATTCTAGGTAGGAAGGAAAATGCCCTGAATGTTTGCAGGCTTACAAATTGTTTACATCAAGTATTGATTTTTCCCCTTTTTTTTTATATTCAGTATGTTATTGAAAGAACATATTGGGTTGTGTTCTAGTCTAGTTGGTTTAGTAGCTACTGCTCGTTCTGGGTCAAGCCTGGAATGATAGAGGTTTATGTCCTTATCAAGGACTGTTGTTATTTGTATAGCATAGCTCTTATTTGTTACTGTTGTTTCAGAAGCAGCAGTAACCCTGATTTAGGTCAGGATGCTGATGCTGAAGTAGGAGGAATCTTATCAAGAGGATTGGACAGAACCAACTCAATGAGAACAGGTATTTGAGTAGTGGTATTTATTGTAAAGATATTACTTTTAACTTTATAGCATGAGAAATAATGAGGAGATTGATCTTTAAACTTCATATTGTTGAACATTTATTTTTCTAACCAGTTATTTTTTTTTAGTTACACATTGCATTTTTAATGACTGAGGCAGAGACTTAAAAAAAAACTAAAAGAAACTAAATAAAAGTTTCAAGTGTTGTGATTATGGGTTACTCTTAATATGATGTATTGATTGGTAAAACTTTTGTTAAAAAGTATTTCTACATTCTTTTGCATGTCTGTCTATTACTAGACAATGATGAGGAGCAAACAGATAAGAAAGGTGAGATATCCATCTTTAATCCTGATGCCAAATTTTACAATATTTTAGCCCCAATACCCCTATTGAAAAGGCAGGCTTTTCCTTGCCAAACCATGATGTTCTTTTTTTAATTTGATGTGCCTTTTCATGAGGTTGCAATTTGATATTATAGACACAGCATGAAATGTATTATAAGGTGATGTAGAATGTTACATTAATACCTTGTTATGCATTGCTTCTTTACTTGAGTGTGATCTTCGCTTCTCTCTGTTCTCAAAAAAATTATTATGAGAAAAAAGATTAGCAGACAATGAGATATTTGACAGATGGAAATTACTTGTCTAAAGAGGCTGGCTGATTTGTAGGCATCAGGTATGATGGCCAAATCAAACACATCAACTTGGTTGACTTTTGTACAACTAGGACAATTGTGTTTTGCATCCAAGAACCAGCACCTCAAGAAATAAGAGAAAAACATCTTCACCATCCCTCAAGTCCCAACCAGACCTATGTCACTCATGGGATGAGGCTTATTGCAATCAATTTGGTCTTATCCTTGTTGATTTGGGCTTTACTGCTAGTGTACAGAGAGTCTTTACAAAACATTTTTGACAGAAATGGATGGCTTTGCTTTGTGAATAATGAGATTCTGCATTTTTTCATAGACCACTATTTCAGCAACAACAGATGCATGGCTTAATTCAAATTGCAGAAATTCTGATTTGTTCCTTTTTGACATTAGTTTGGATTTTGTGCCAAATCCCTGTAAGTAGTATTAAAAAATTGTTTATGCTTTTACATTTTTATTTTTGTTTTACCATGAGTAAAGAAAAATATAGTATTGAGAATAAGAGGATTAGATTACTCATAGTTGGTTAAATTTTCATTTTATGTTTATACAGTTTATATCCCTTTGATTAGTTTCCATTGTTTGTTCCTCAGACAGTTATTAGGTATAAGACTTACCAGTCTAGGATGCTACACATCCATATCTATGTAAGTCTCATGTAGTAGGCCAGTGGTATTCATTTTATTGCATACAAACAGTTTTCAATTTAAATTGAAGGCAGAACTGCAGCTAGTAATGATCGAGCATGATGGGGTCCCCAAGGTAGCCATTGGGGGTTAGAAGCACTTGCTTAATTCACTTTTATTTTGAACATTTAGATTGATACATGAAAATTCAATAAACATTATCATGTTAAATTTGTTTTTGATATATTTTTTAATTGATAAGATGAGTAACAGGTACATATTTTGTCTTATTGTTGTCACTAACATTTGATTAAAGCAGAACTATAGGAGAGTTTGAGGCAATTCCTCCAATTTTAATCACAAGTAATACAAAGAAAATGGGACAGCTAGATAAAAAGATAATGTAATAGGTATTTCCATCCATCTCCTACAAAAAGCAATATATTTTTTAAGGATGAGTTCACATTTAAAGCAAGTTGAGAACTAAAGAAAGGTGTCCTTATCTTTTTCAGCTTGTCTGGTTTTTCTTATAATCAACATTTATAATTATTACTGTAAATTTATATTCGCTCTCATTTTTACCTTGAGAATAAGGAAAATATATCAGATTGGTATTTTTTAATTATATTTTTGAAGCTAAGGAGGAAGATGAGTTAACCTTTTATTTTTTAAGGTGAACTCCAGCATCATTAATCAAAAACAATCTCTATAGGAATCTAACAAACAGTTTTCAAAAAAATCCTGAGGTCTTTTTTGTAAGTTAGATTTCAAACTCATTATTAAAAAAAATTACTTCTCAACAGGTGGGAACTACGAAAATCTCATGTTGTTGCAGCGACTTCCAGGAAGGAAAGTAGTACATGAAGAAGTGGCCCTCCAGTGGGTAGTGTCAAATGGCACAGGCAGAGAAAAAGCTCTAGCAAATTCATGGTTGGTTTTTTGGAGTATTTGAACCAGAAATTGGAATTTCCCATTGATATCCAAAACTTGAAGTATCCAGAACTTGAAATTAATCCTGACAGAAAAATGTTATCACAAGCTTTTTCCAATTTCCAGGTTCTTCTTTGAGTTGATGATAAAGTCCATGTCAGAACACCTAGCCCGTACAGGAAGGCAGGACACTTTGCGCAAGATGAGGTTCTCCCACCAGTTCTGTGATGATGTTGAGAACTTGACCAACACCATCACAAATGACATCATTGCTCTCCATAACAAAGATGTCCGAGATACCAGAGTAAGTTATGAGTCAATACAATTAGGGAGGAAGAGATTGGACTGTTTGCATGCATCTTTTTTATTCAGTTTTATCAAATAGATATAGCTCATTCTGCCCATTGCCAAGGAAGTTGTTTGGTGAATGGCTGCGCAAGAGCTAATAGCAACCAAGCTATGCGGGGAAGTGCCATCTGGAACCTGATTGGCTCTCTTGGAATGCAGGCTGGACAAATAGTTAATTAAGAGTTCCTCATGTGCAATAATGTATTATCTTTTTTTCCTCTTTTTTGATCTGATAGCACAGAAGCATTGAGCATCTGATTACAGTATTAACAAATAGTAGTATGGATTTTTCATTTACTTGGAAATTTAAGTGCTATATATTTTCCTTTTGTACTGGCATGCTTACAATTACATCTGTTTCATCACATACTCTGGACTTCCACAGTACATCAGAAAGGTAGGCTGTTCAGGAAACCAGTGCATCATTAGGTTGATTTTATTATATATTTTAAAGGGACCTTTCACTCTTTCTATTAAAATTAATCCAAAACCAGAGAAATTTTCAGTTAAGGGTGTAATCCTTAGCTTTTTGTGTTATATGAAAAATAATTTAAATGGAAAATGTTTCCAGAATTTACAATCAAGCATTTTTTTTTTTGATGCAACATTACAAATGATATGGTTGACATTTATTCATTTACAGTTTGTACAGAATGTGAACAGCAGCCTTGCCTTCTTTTTATGTGATCTCCTGTCGGTGATGGATAGAGGATTTGTTTTCATGTTAATCAGAAACTACTGTAAGCAGATGAGCAACAAGATAATGAATCTACCTGATGCTGCAGCACTGATTAATCTGAAGGTGAGTTTTTCAGAGTTGTAGAACAGTATTGATATTAACATGAACATGGAATTCATAAAAACAAAAACAACCCATTTGCCCCATTTGGCAAGAATACATACCATGCCTACTGTAATACATATTTATTAATTGTATTTGCAGCACCTGTTTACCCTTTTTCTACACTTTAGGAAAGGTTCTTTTGTATCTTTTCATTGTCTAAAGTAGTTTAATGACGATTTAATAATCATAACATCAATAACAATAATAATAGTATCGTTAGCAATGGTATTAATAAGACCAATTAAAGGAATGGGGAAATCAGGATTAGTCATTGGGGCCTACTGATAGACTGAGCCTGGCTGAGCACATGTTTTTTTTTTGATGCAACATTACAAATGATATGGTTGACATTTATTCATTTACAGTTTGTACAGAATGTGAACAGCAGCCTTGCCTTCTTTTTATGTGATCTCCTGTCGGTGATGGATAGAGGATTTGTTTTCATGTTAATCAGAAACTACTGTAAGCAGATGAGCAACAAGATAATGAATCTACCTGATGCTGCAGCACTGATTAATCTGAAGGTGAGTTTTTCAGAGTTGTAGAACAGTATTGATATTAACATGAACATGGAATTCATAAAAACAAAAACAACCCATTTGCCCCATTTGGCAAGAATACATACCATGCCTACTGTAATACATATTTATTAATTGTATTTGCGCACCTGTTTACCCTTTTTCTACACTTTAGGAAAGGTTCTTTTGTATCTTTTCATTGTCTAAAGTAGTTTAATGACGATTTAATAATCATAACATCAATAACAATAATAATAGTATCGTTAGCAATGGTATTAATAAGACCAATTAAAGGAATGGGGAAATCAGGATTAGTCATTGGGGCCTACTGATAGACTGAGCTGGCTGAGCACATGTGGAGCCATCTGTATGTAACAAAATTCCCAAAAAACTACAGGGGACAGAACATAAATCTGGGGCGAATGGGTTAATAAACAGATGCTTAAATAATTCATCAAGTATGTGAAGAAGTGCTAACCCATATTTTTCATGTGTATTTTAGCTGGATTTTGTACGAATTGTATGCAGTCATGAACACTTTGTGGCTCTGAATTTGCCATTCTGCACACCAATCTCAGCAACCTCAGCTCCATCGTCCCCCTGTCCCTCGGTAAGCTACTTTTTATATTTATTTACATAGGTGAGAATATTTCAATTAAGGCTGCCTACTACTGTGATTTTTACTTCAGAATGAGATATACATTCCATCTTTTTTGAGAAATTGATTTTTTTTTTTTTTTTTTTTTTACACAGAAAAGGTAAGAAGTTTTATAGGGTATGATTTTCTAAATTTTGCTTTTTTATTTTCAGATTGGGTCAACAACTAGTCAGTCATCCTTCATCTCCACTGTGATTGGTGGAAATCGTAGTGCTTTCATGATGCTTTCAAACTCTTTCAGACAACAGCACTTCCTTGTTGGGCTTGTGTTGTCAGATTTGGCTACTGCTCTTGAGATAAAGTGCGTAGAATACTATTGATAAAATATTATTGGATTGTGAAAGTACAGAAGATGTCTATGTACACATTGAGAAATTGGTGTTTTACTAATATGAATATTAGAGTAATGAATTTTTACAAATTTTCCAGCAATCCCAGTATTCATGGAAGAGCAGTGAACTCTGTGAGAAACTTGTTGACAAGCCATGACACAGATGAACGTTTCACAGAGCCAGAAGTAAAGGCAAGAGTGGTGGCTTTGTATCTACCACTCATCAGCATTGTCATTGATGCATTACCTCAGCTGCACACATTTGCAAGCAATAAAAGTATGTTATGAAATTTCTTTAAAGTATGTATGTTAAATGATTATAAAAATTAGAAAGTAGATATATGTAACATTAAACTTACGAAGCCAAGTATTTAGCCAATAGATGCAGGTGGAACTTTCTAAAAAAGTAATTTCTCATTAATGCTTCATTATACATTTAAGAATATGTAAACCATTGTAAACAAAGAAACAATGAAGTGGATCAGTTATCAAATGGTTACAAGTTAATTTTGTTTTCTCTTATTCCCAATTTAATTTTCATTTTTCACAGATCGGAATTTGATGTCTTCTGTCAGTGACGACAATGATGGAGTCGCAACACACATCCACCAAAATGTTGCTTTAGCCATTGCTGGTTCTTCTATGTTTGCTAATAGGGAGAGCGACTATGATGTCATACAAGGGGTTAGTACTATGGAGTCTTATTTCATGCTTTTTCTGAAAATACTTACTTGTGTTCAAGTATGCTGTACTGTGATAATAATTAACATGAACTTATTGTGATCAATTGATTCATGAAGAGGTCTAATATGAAGGTTATAACAAACAGGTATGATA